ATTATTATTATTATTATTATAATTATTATTATTATTATTATTATTATTATTATTATTATTATTTCGATACGATCAACAGCGAAACCACTTAAATCTGTATAATATATTTATACTTAATACTTAATTCTTAGCGATCAATTTACAATCGATTGATTCGATTAATCGAAAGGATTCGATTAATTCGCAGCGATGGTTCGTTCCGTTCGGCACGGCATACATTCATTTCCGTTTCCCTGTTTCTCTTTCCTTCTTTTTTCTTCTTTTTTTCATTATCGACGAACGATTAACACCGACGACACTTATACTAGAACCGTCCTTTTTGAATCGGAATGAATTCTGAAAAACATCTACCATAGATTAATTGTCGATCGTACGCGCTTTGTGTCCTTGAGGCCGATAGAACAAAAGAAACATTCATTATATAGACATCAGTTATTATATCAACGATTTTCTCATCTATACCCTGTGCATCATTTTAAATGTTTCAACACATCCTATGTGATTACTCGATAAATGTTTCTCGCTTATCGTAGATAGTCAATATATAATATTTATACTTTGTATGTGTATTCTATAAGTATAGGCACGCGACGCGTACACGTGTGTATACTTATACATATGTATGTATTTGTTATGTAGGTACGTTCGCGTATACGTACGCGTGCATATATTTATTTCTTTGCATGTAATCATGCTAGATGCGTAATTTTACAGCGTTGATTAGCGACAAAAGAAGATGTCGGTTATAGCATACATCTATATCGACTGTTCGTGATCGTGTATCGATAAACACTGTAATTCTCGATTGCTCGAAATGCAGCAATGAAATATACAATTAAACGAGAAACAACATAACGCGATAACTATAAAAATCACGGTAACGCATGATATTTCACAACGACGTCAATAGTCAACGATTAACCGATACGCATTAACCGATAAAGAAATTGCAACGAGAACGGTTATGGCTATGGCTGTAGCGAGTGCGAGGTACGAAAGCGAGGATGTCTATCGAATCGACTATCGAGATTTTATTCGCGGCCCATCTCTCTTCCATTTTCTCTTCGCCTTCTTCTTTTCCATTTTAAATCTACAAACAGATCGATTTTTCCGGATTTTCCAATCCATCCAATATTTTTTCCAATATTCTCTATATATTTCTTCAAATTAACAAGAAAAATTAGAAGATAAATCTATGGAAGCGCTTGGTCGATCGATCTTGGATCATTCGTTCCGTATATGTCGATAAAAACGATGCAATCGAAACGGTTATCGTAAAAATCATTTGGTTGCATCGAGTCGTTTCCATCCTGTGGCACAATCACGTGTACACGCAACGGAATACGTCTACTGTACATATACGTAGATATAGGAGCTAAGACGACAAATTTTCAAAAGATGATCGTCGATCGTGAGCGTTCGATGCATACCTGTCTAAATCCTACTACTATACTGTGCACGTATAGGTTATGATTCGTCGCTTCTTGTCCGTAGGATAGAACATTTTCTTCTAACGCAAGCGAATCAAGCAAATTGCTTTTCTAAATCGTATAACAAAAGATTCGTACGACAAAGACGGAAGGAAAAAAAAAAAAAATAAGCCATTTAGAATTTAGAAGCGTTTCGCAAGATACAATTAATATTTTGGAATTTAATTTAAAATGCTTTAGCCACGATCGACTAATTTTAATCACGATCCATTCCATTTATTAGTTTTCTTTTTCAATTTAAACCGCGTGCAAACTTACTCGGTCGATTGCGATAAACCGCCACGAGTCAACGAATCGAATTGACTAGATGCGCATTAAACATATAAAGTTTTCAATTAATCATGTGCCCGCGCGTACACGTGTTATGGTTTTGACGTAACGTATCATACACTGTATAACACACGCATATACTTACGTGTATACGATACAGCGGTCGAAAAACGACGTCGCATTTGTTTACGCCACGAACTGAAAATATTTCCACATTTTTCGGAATATCATCGAGCACATCATAGCCCTCTCATCTTTCGATGTATCGATCGACTTTCGAGATATTTCCTTCCGATCATAGCGCGCGTTATTATCGCTTGACGATTATTATATCGGCCAATGTTTCAATCGCAAACACGTATATATGTATATATATATATATATTCCACTAATTCGGATATATTTTGTCCATTGGATTGTAAAAAATGCTCGAACAAAAGTCGAACGCTACCGCTTATCAAATAGCAATCTCACTTGTGGATACATCGATTACAGCTAATAACGTGATGTAAACGATTCGTCGTGTACAAACTAACCAACTACATACCTTCTCTCGTACAACGAAAGGAACGGGAAAAGGATAAAATAACAATAAGGAGGTACATATACGTGTACGGTCAATTTCCCAAGTTGTAACGAGTCACGTTCGGAAAGAAATGTATACCGATTCGTTGAAACAGCAACAGATCGCACATGCTCGCCATTACAAAGCGAAACATCCGAATAATTGTCAACAATAACGAAAGCGTGTAACAGTAAGGTCGGAAAACGATGAAGAAAAGCGATCAACGTTGAACATTTTCCATTATCGAGGATCGATGCGCGATCACCGTGAACAGAGACGAATAGCATATCGACGAGCACGCCATCTTTCGAATCATTAACGCGTTTCCATACAACAATATCAACTAACTTCATAGCACGTGCTGTTCGTTCCATCGCCTTATCCCCTTCTTCTTTCCCTTTCACACTTTTCAACGCAACTTCGAACCGTGCGCTCGTTGCTACTCGCGGCATATAGGTACTCTTAGGTAACAGTTAATCGAGCCGTGGATATAAAGAGAAGTGGAGGGAGAAAATCGAGAGGGCGGATTGAAGAAGTGAAAAAAGGAGCGAGATTGGGAGAAAGGATAGAAAGAGAGAGATTAAATGGGCGAAAGAAGGAAGGATTAGGAAGGGAAAACGCGCGCGCAAATCGCAGTATCAAGTCACGCCAGGAGGCGGATTGTTCCGGCGGATCCTAAACTGTGTAAAAATACGTAGAAAAGATAAACGTAGCGCTCGAATCGTTTGCTTGTTGCCCGTCTGTTTGTCCGTCTGTCCGTCTCTCCGTCTGTTGCCAGTGCATACCTTTGTGTGCCTGATTTTATGGATTGACACGCGCGCGCGAGCAGGTACGCGCAGATACGAACGAAGTGAGAGCGTGAGCGTAAGCGCGTGTCCATGTGTGTTCCGTGTTTTACGTGTGTGTATGTGTGTCTATGCGTGTGTGTCTCTGTGTACGTCTCTGTGTATATGTGTGTGTGTGAGCGCGTGTGAGCGTGCGCGTTTGTACGTGGAATAGTTTTACATCGATTATCATACACCATCGTAAGCGAGGTCGACCGACGGTCTGTGATGGGAAGGGAGGTAAGACGGTGGCGTCGTGCCTGGCGAAGTACCTGGCGTTGTGCTACCAACGCTCGTGTAACCGCCGGGATAATTGGCGCTGGGCGCGTGAATCCCAGCCGGTGGGGCCGGATAGGCGTCGAAGGAACTAGAGTACGAACCATTGTAGGAATAAGGATTGGCCATATGACCGAGGGATGGATGCATTCCCCCCATACCGCTCATACCGCTCATCCCGTAGGTTCGTTGCATCAAGCTTGACTCAAGGCCACCGAAAAGATACCCGTTCGTCGATCCCATCGGCACGGGATAATGAGGTCCAGGAATTATATTCGGATACGAATTACCGGGATGCCCGTGGCTCATGCTCGGCGTGTAATTGCTAGACGCTAGATTTTCCACCGTGTAAGATTT